TCCAAACTCATACCAAACATTCAGGCTGCACAGATGCTTGTTTCTCATTGCAATGATACGGGCGTTACCCTCATGGGCATACACTGGAGGTTTGAAACTCATTTATACACTTGACAGTAAAAGATGATGCCTACCTCTGCAGTGCCAACTTCCTCTGCCATAGGCTTGCTCCTGATAAGCCTAAAAATGGTAATAAATAGCTTTTATTTACATGTTATTGGTGGAGGGGTGCCTTCAAAAGACTTTCATATGAATCTGCAAGGTAGACAAAGCTGTGTTCTTTCTCCGATTCTGCTGTTAAGAAAGCCATAGCCCCTATTTACAGCTTGAGACTATCGTGGAGGCATTCCCTTAGGGCTCTTTCCAGTATTTCATAAACATGTCTCTTCTCTGTACCTAAAGAAGTTTTGAAATTCTCGCATGGGAAGATTTATATTTTAGTAGTGGATGGTGGTTTTTCTTTTCCACATGCGTATGGTGATGGAAACTTTTGCTTTCCAAATGTCAAACAACAGGAGAGTGATTAAATTATGACAGATCCATATACTAGGATACAATGTGGCAATTAATGTTTTTGAAGAATAGATAATCACACAGGGAACTGCTCTTGATTATATCAGTGTTGCAGGAAAGGAGTATACTAAACAGCAGGATCCCCATTTTGTTTAAAAATTTTACATGTAAAAAAAGCACTGGAATGAAATATACCAAAATGTTAGCAGGAGTTTTCTCTGGATAGTAAGATTATGGTTTACTTTTATTTTCTTTATAGCTTTTTGAATTTTCCAGTTTTTCTTCAGTTAACTCATATCATTAAAAACATAAATGTTATTTTTACTATTCTTCAGATTACTAAATTTTAGCTAGAGGAATCCTTTGAGTCTTGCTGTATTTGAGTGATGCTTGCTGTTTTTCATTTGTAAAATTACATTTTAGAAATTAAACCTTATATTTAAATGAGAGGATTGTTTTCATTATTAGTGTAGACATTTGAAATAGTATATTATTAGTGTATACATTTCAAGTTGGCCATTATAACCTACTTGCTGGTCTGTTATTTCCAAAAAATGACTCTTGTATAATTCATTAATTCAGCCAAATATTATTTTGAGGGTTTTCTATATTTGCCTGCAGATACAGGGATGAAGACAACCCAGCCTCTGCTGTCAAGAAATACCAATCTGGGTTGAGAAACAGACTAGTAAAGCAGTAATTACAGCAGTATTGTGTTGGAGAACGATTTTATGAGAGAAGGCTGTGCAGGGTGCTCAGGGAGCTCTAATGAAGAACACCCCATTCATCCCAACTTGGGTGAGGTTGGGAATTCCTCCTGGAAAATGGCCTCTGAGCTGAAGGAAGAAAGCTCTTCTCCTTTAGATGACCAACCTCAGATTTAGAAATAAGGACAACACATGTCAATCTTGGTGGACAAAGGTTGATTCAAGGGTTTCTTACAATGGTTAAGAGTTTGAAATTAATTAAAAAAGACAAACCAGGCTGGGCACAGTGGTTCACACCTGTAATGCCAGTACTTTGGGAGGCTGAAATGGAAGGACTACTTCAGGCCAGGAGTTGGAGACCAGTCTGGGCAACATAGCAAGATCCCATCTCTACAAAAAATTTTTTAAAAAAATTAGCCAGGTGAGGTGGTGTGTGCATGTAGTCCCAGCCACTCATGAGGCTGAGGTGGGAGGATCACTTGAACCTCAGTTCAGTTCGAGTTGGAGGTTGCGGTGTGTTATTATTATGCTACTGCACTTCAGCTTGGGCAACAACGTGAGACCCTCTCTAAAAAAGCAAAAAAAACAGGAAGAAAAGAGAAACCAGTTAACTTGGGCTGTGGGACCTTTATATTTCCTTACTGTAGAATTCTCTTAATCTTCAGGGTTTCCCTTTCTGTTTATTTGGGCAACACTAAAGCATAATTGCCTTGCTCTCAAATTATCACAATGATGTGTTTTTATGTTTCATATTACATATTCTTTTATGTGATGGTTAATACTGATTTTGATCATGTCTTTTGTTCCTGTTTCATTCCCCTGACTCCCCCGACTCTGCAGAAGGAGACAGGTCGATGTTTTTGTTGTTGTTTTTGTTGTTTTATAAGGATAAACTGAGTTTCAGAATGATCACATGGCTTCTCCAAATTATGGGGTAAGTTAGTAATGAAACTAGAAAGAGAAATTAGAATTTCTTTATTCAAAGCTCTGACTTCTGAAATATTTCTCCATGTAAGTAGAGTAGGTTGTTTGCCAAAAATGCATTCATCCTTTAAATCTGTACTGAAAGTAATAAGCTTAAAATAAAGTCTCATGAAGATAATATTGTAAAAGCTTAGGCCATAAATTAAGGCTATTTGAGTAGATTAAAATGAGTCTTGAGTGAAGCTTAAAATTTGTCCATTTAATTAATTTGTTCGGCAATGGATTTTAGGTTATTTTTCGCAAAAATAGTATTTGAAACATTCTTACAACACATCTAAGAATGTTTTATGATTTGATTCACTTAAAATATTTTAAATAAGAGGGATGAGATTAAAGATGAAATCAGAATTGGCACAGTATATATTTTTAAGCTACTGAATGATTATGATTTTATTTTTCTGGCTGGGTATGGTGGCTCATGCCTGTAATCCTAGCACTTTGTGAGGCTGAGGTGGTGGATCACCTGAGGTCAGGAATTCAAGACCAGCCTGGTCAACATAGTGAAACCCCATCTCTACTAAAAATACAAAAAATTAGCTGGGCATGGTGGCACGTGCCTGTAATCCCAGCTACTCAGGAGGCTGAGGCAGGAGAATTGCCTGAACCCAGGAGACGGAGGTTGCGGTGAGCCGAGATCGCGCCATTGCACTCCAGCCTGGGTAACGAGAGCGAAACTCCGTCTCAAAAAAAAAAAAAAACAAACAAACAAAAAAAAAAAAAACTAGTGGGGCATGGTGGCACACACCTGTAATCCCAGCTACTTGCGAAGCTGAGGCAGGAGAATCACTTGAACCAGGAGGCAGAGGTTGCAGTGGGCGAGATTGTGCTACTGGGCTCCAGCCTGGGTGACAAGCAAAACTCCATCTCAAAAAAAAAAAAAAAAAAAAAAAAAGTTTTTCTGTAAACTATCAATGAAAATAATACTGTTCTGATGATTCTTTTAGTAAATATTTTTACTATTAAAATAATTGATACCCTAATAAATGATGGTCATTAGGTATTTTACACTAAAATACTCGAGCAGCAGTATAAATAAATATGAAAGAAAATACATGTATGTTTTATTGAAGATGCCTAGCAGTTGAATTCCCTCCATATTAATATTATTACATATTTTCCTTCTAGTTAAAAATATTCATGTATTTTAGATTATTTAATAAAACATGAACCATATTTTTATTTAAAATTAGTATTTTCTTGATTTATATACAGAAAATGTTGCACAAATTGGAGTTTGAAGAACTTTGGAATGTAAGAATTGTCTTATATTTTATATAGAAATTTTTATTTATCACAATATTAGTGATTTGATTTTAGAGATATTACCTCAAACTATTTAATCTTTGGCTCCTACCTCATTTGGGCTTAAGATGTTATAATATGTAATGCATTATTGCCAGCAAATGCTGCTTACCAACTCTCATTGGGGCTTTTCTAGGAAAAAATGAAAATAAAACATAACCTCAACGCTGAGGATCAAGGGTTTATTCAGAGTTCAAGAGAGATATAAGCAGAAACTGATATTTTGTCTGGGGATCTAGAACTTGTATCTAACTAAACTTCATGAGAACAGAATGTTGTTTAGTGGTACACACCTTTCTGTCCTTTGCTCTGAGCATCGGTGATGATGGGATTGAAGAATATGGAGCTTCCCGAAGATGATTCAGTAGCCATGTCATACTTTTCAGTCAGTCTTACTTGCATAACCATGGGCAAGTTATTTCACTTTCTAAGCCCCTTAATTATTGAGCTTTAAGCAGAATAGCTTCACAAGCATGAAAAAAGGTACAAAAGAAGAAAGTAGATACCATCCTTGGACTGTATGGGAATACTGATCTAATAATCCACTAAATTATGTACCAGCATCAAAAAATGGAAAAACTCTGCAGTTAGGCAAACTGCAAATATAAGAGATGAGAAACTAATAGAGGGGTTGAACACAGCTAGGTGAAATCAATACTGGAAAGCCTCATGGGGCTCTGAAGGAGGGAGACCTATAGACCATGGATTGGCCAAGATAGCACTGATTTTTTTAGGACCTGAACCTGTTTCGCAAATGACTTGAAGTAATTAGCTCGGTCAGAAGAGGAAATATCTGTGTGTGTGTGTGTGTTTGGGGGGGATATTTAATCTTACTGTGGATTAACTATTATCTATTAGAGTTATGATCAGGACTCAGGGCTGATGTAGATCATACTTCGTTAAATAGAGGCTTCTACTTATTTTGAACTGCTTCGTTCCTGTGGTATAGGAGATTGAGCCCTAGGCCGGATTCTCTGCGTTTGAATCCTAGCCCTGCCATTTTGTCAGTGGTCTTGTAAAAGTTACTCAATTGCTTTGTTCCTCTGTTTTCCCATCCGTAAGATGGGGCTACTATTGGTACGGACCTTATAGACTATTTTGGAGATTAAATAGGGTAGTTAATATATGCAACTGATGTTCTAAATGTATATAAATCATTTAGAATAGTGCCAGGAACTCAATACATTGATAGTCATTAGTAGTACTAGTGGTGGGTGGTGATTTCCATTTCCTATACCTGTTTGTTTGTTTGTTTTTTTAAAAGAATGTAGTACTGACTGGGTTCTTGCCCCAAAGCAGAGAGCTGTGTTGGAAATTGATTCAGGGATCAAGGGAACCATGTGAACTTACAGATCTTCTTCCTTCCAATATCCCCTGCTTCTCCTCCTAATCATACTCCACTGTTCTGCCCCAGACAATCCAAAACTGTGACCTGAAAACTGAGTTTTAAGGAGTTTATTCTACAGTAACACATGTTTGTCTTTGTATCCTTAGGAATGAGGGGAGAATCATACTTCATCGGAATGAGGAGCCCAGGGCAGCAGGGACACATCCCTGAAGATGGAGGACTTTTCTTACTCTGCTGCATAGACAGGGACTGGGCTGTCACTCGCTGTTTTGCAGAAGAAGCCTTTCAAGCAATCACTGACTTCAATGACCTCCCCAACTCATTGTTTGCGTGCAATGTTCACCAGTCAGTGTTTGAAGGAGAAGAAAGCAAGGTAAGAAGCCTTTTTCTGTTCCTGAAACATGAGGAGATGTGGCATTATCTCAAAGTAATTCTGTTGTTCATCTGTGGTTGATGTTTTGAAGTGTTTGGAAATGTTTAGTTGGCTCTATTTTTGGCACGTGTACCAGGATGAGAAAAGCTATCTCAGATCTATCTCAGCTAACTTCAGAGATAGATCTGACAGGGTTGTAGCTGAAACTATGTTGAATCAAACTGATTCTTCTGTGACTCAGAGGTCTATCTAGCAAAACAAGTGGTGTTAATATGGATTGTAGGACATGCCCCTTAGGCTAGGAAGCAGATGTATTAACCTTCTAAAAGTTTCCTTTCCCTTATTCTGCCATAAATATAATTTACCTTTTTCAAAAGAGTACAAGCTCCGTTTTACCTCTACCCTTCCTGCAGCTTGATTAATATTCTAAAAAAAGGCTTCTTAAACTGTGAGCCAAGTCTCATAGTAGATATTAAAGAAAGTAAGTTGGTTGGCATCTAAGTCCTTCTTTGCTCACTGGCACGATGGTGGTATTGCTATGTGTGTGTTGTAAGAATTTGAGTGACAGTAGTAACTCCTCAATTTGAAATGATTGGGGAATGAGGTTGTCTACATATTAACATTTTCCAGCTTCCCATTTTAAGAAACAGACTTAACTTAGTGTAAATGTTTTTGGCAATCACAGTAAATATTCCATTTGGAGACCTTTCCAATGTTTATTTCAGATTTCTCTGACCTTTAAATGGGGTATCTAAATGGATTAAACCTTCCTTTGTGGATATAGATACTTAGTTTTAAAAGCCACTATTATACTACTGAAACATGGACAAAATTTTTTGGATAAAGGATCTTTTTTTTCTAAACTAAACTATATGACTCTGTGTGAGATATAAGAATAGGATTTATGATTGCTGTTTCACAAACTTTAGCTTTTTCTGTTTGTTGCTGAAGTCTGTGTCTGGCACAATTACTGGAAGACTGATTTATGGATATGATTGATTTTATAGACAGTCCTGATAGCCACAGGGAAACCATTCCAGAGGATTAGGAATTATTTTTAAGCTATTTAAAGATATTTGTATAATGATATCATTCTGTAGTTGTACTGTTGAAATTATGAGCTGAAAATAACTTGAAATGCAAGGAATTATATATAATTAGAACCTCCAGTGCTATGATCATCAGACTATTTAAAGTAAGAAAGTGGCATATGCCAATTTCTTCTTTGAAAGAAACTGGGAATTTTGTTCTTGGATTATAACCAGATCATCACTAATGATAATTAACTCAGGGAAAATAATTTCCTCTGAAATATACCTGTCATAAACTGTAAAGCAACAGTCTATGTATTCTCATCATATCATCCATTTCTCTAAATATCACAATGAGAAGAATTTTCCTTAGAGATTTAGTGGGGGTTTTGATTCTTTCCTGATTAAATACTTCCCAGTAGATTGAAACAATGAGACCTAGGAAGACGCTAATCTCATTTAGTAGTGCTGCTCAAGAATGGCTGATTAACTGAACTGGAGCCGAGGACATAGAAGGACAGGGGCTGTTGATGGGGGGTGGTTCATGGGAGTCTGCACACATCTATTTTGATATTCTGATTTGTGATCAAGTAACGATTACAAAATATTCTTATCTAATGTGTCTATGACGTTTGTGCATAGCAGTTTGGGAAAACAGTATTTGGTTTTAGGATGACCTTGATAAAATATTGAGGCAAAATAAATAAGAATATAGTTAATTGCATTCAGTTTCAAATGATTTAGATCGCAATTTTACAGCAATGGAGGTGAATTTTATACTAGGCCAAAGTCTACGTAATTCAGCTTATTAAGTCAGAAAGTCTTCTACCTCAGTGAGATTTTTTTTTTTTTCTTTAATTCTTCTTTTTGTGGACAGTCTTTAGGATACCAAATAATCTGATGCAGATTTAGTTTTGATTTAGTTATATCTGTATGGTTTGAGGGTGACAAAGCAAGATAATCAGATACCAGATAAGTTGACGATGGCCAAGAGACATGATCCCTGGGACTCCAGAAAAAAAAGTGGGGAGTCTTGTGGCATCTCATTTTCACTACTATATTTCTCTTCCAAACTCAGAAATTTATATTTCTTTCTTTTAACCTCCTTTTTAAATAACTACTTTAATAAAATCACTTATTTTAAGATATTAAGTATTATACTTCATTCTGTCAGGATATTCTTTCCACAAGGTTTAGATTTCATGAATCTGAGCCATGAAGTCTGATGATGGATATTTTTCCCAAAGGGTGGACATTTTAGGCACTATGCTAAGTTGGTGGGAGATATTTTTAGGCAGAGAGAAAAGAAGCAAGAAGCATTTCCAGCACTCCTTGTATTTGCCTATGGGCAAGCCTGGCCATGGTAATTGTTTTTATGTTCAGTTTGGGAAGATGTATTCAGCAGCCTGGAATTATAGCAGGGGGTGGAGACATCAGAAATGATGCTTAGCCTTCATTTCCAAGGTTTAGGAGGGTGGGTAGTTTCATATATAATTTGTTTTGGCAGAGTCCTTTCTTTTTCAGCACAGCCTGTTTCTGAAATCATTGTGTCTGGATATTGATGGATTTGAGTTTAGCTTTTGTCTTGCAATTATTATAAAGTATATATTTAACTCCCATAGTTGGGTAGGAATTAAATGTTTTGCTTTCTATCACAAATGAGTTTTGCAGCATTCTCTTCTCTATTTTCCCACATGTCTGAGGCACCTTTTCCTTTTTGAGGAAATTTATGGGGCCCTAAATTGAACTTCTTATAATACAGGTAACAGCACAGGATATGATCTGGATCTGTTTATTTCTGTATCACTCTGTTCTGTTCAAAGTGATAAATATTCTGATATGCTCATTGCTGCTGTCCTATTTAAATTCTAAGTTCTGACACCTAAAGCACATCTTAAAAAACAGCTTTGTGATGTCCATAATGTTCATTCCAATTTTCAGTTAGGCAGAATTCTGTGAGATTGTATTTTGATTTGATGCTTTTGCAATGAGTGAACACACTTCATTGAGGCTTGTTGTGGTCCAGATGGTTGAGATTTGTTTATATAACACAAAGGAGAACCGGAGCTGGAGGAAATTGGCATCTGAAACCAATAAATGCAGATTGCTGTTTGTGTGCTACAGCTTGAAATATAAATATTTTTGTATGAAACACATTTAAAACTGTGATCTTCACAGCATCCAACACCTGAAAGTTACTAGGGTTTGTTTCTCTTCAGAGTGCTCCCCGGGGTTCATCTTTTGTGATCCAGCTGGGCTGCAGAAGTCATCTTAAGGAAGGTGAGGCTAGAAAGGTTGTCCTTTGAGTTGGTCTGTGTCTGTGCTAAAGATGGATAAGGGTCTGCTGGGTAAGATGTTGGCATGCCCTTCTTGCTAAAGGGAACAATGAAGCAATGACTATGGAATGTTTAGCCAAATTCAATTCAGTAAAAAGAAACCTGAAAGGTGACTTTCTAATGGCCCCAAAATATGAATTTATTCTATTTATTAATACTCATAATAGCAGCAGCAAATACCTATACAGTACATAGCGAGGTGCCAGGTCCTTTTCCAAGTGCTTTATAAACATTGAGTTCTTTACTTGTCATGCCAACCCTATGAGGGTGGCATCTTTCTGTATCTCTGCTTCCTGGGTGCTGTTTCTGCCCAATGTGTAAGCAGAGTGACTTGTGTCACTTCTAGACCAAGAATTTAATTTACTAGTATTGGACCCTGAAGAATGTTCCTTTTGCCCAGCTAGAGGAACTGGCATTGTGCCAAGTAGTATTGGCTTAGACAGTTTGGGTCTTGGAGTGAGGACAGTGATGATACAGGGTGGAATCCTTGCCAACCTATGATGGACATGTAATGCAACAAGAAAAACATACAAGAATTTGTGTTGGTTCAGGCCACTGGGATTTTGGGGTTTGTTACTATAGCATAAATTAGTCCATCTAAGACTGGTAATAATAAGTATCATTATCCCCATTTTTCAGGTGAGGACACTAGAGAGCAGACTTTGCCCATGGTCTAAGCTAGTAGTGGTCAAGGCAGGATTCAAATCTAGGCTGCCAGGCTACAGAGTTCATGCTCTTAAACATTACACAGTACTCCCTCCTGATATACAGATATTTGTTGAAAGCAGGTATGATATTTGGCTCTCGGAATGCAAAGGTAAACAAGATAGACTGAAATTTAATTTATAGTATACCAAGAGAGATCTATTTAAATTAAGCAAACAAATGATAAACATAGTAAATGCTGACAGTGATGCCAAATCAAAGGGACAGTTAGCATATGTTCAACTACATTCATTTCCTAAGACATACACACATCACACATGAACATACAGTTGTTTATTTTTGAATGAAGGGGTATTTCTTCCAAACCATTAAAGAGTATATGCTACTAGAATGGGCATGTGGTGAGAGACCTGGCTGTACTTTTCTCTTAGTCTTCGTGTGTCTTGTAAATAGATCATTGCAATGCATTGCAAGTATCTGAGTGATTCTAATATTCAAAGATGTATTTTTTTTCATTCAGCATATCCACTAAATCTGAACCAATTCCTTCTTCTCGAATTCAGCTGACAAAATGCTCAGCTAGTCTAACATTGCAGGCATTATGAGAGCATCCTAAAGGATTTTCAAAGCTAAATTTGATTATTTGTGGTTTTTACTCATTCCCCAAACGAGAGTGAGAGTTACCCTCACTCTAGTTTGCAGGAGAATGTTGATATTTACTTTGAATTTTGCAACTGCAGTTCCACAGTCTCTTATCTGTAGTACTGAAATCTGAAAATCTGAAAATTGAGACATTTTTTCACAATCGATTTTGATACAAAAACATCACTTTATTAAATGCTGACCTGAACTGATAAGAAGCTACTTGTAGTGTGACTAGTCATCTATTTCTATGTAGAAATATTCCTGCCTTTAATTACCAGGGGCTGTCTAGACGTTGTTGGGACATTACACAGTATGAGCCCTA